GAAGATCTTATAAAGACTTATACTCTGTTTCTTCTTATATCAGATCTTTCACAGTACTTCTCAAAGTCTGCAAATTCTTCAGATTATAGATACTCTCTTCAAGAATTCTTGTGAAGATTCTCAGAGTGTTGACTCTTAGTGTTATAGAGAGTAGTTATACAGACTTCTTCTCTCTCTTCTCTCTTTTCTCTTATAAGAAATTGAGAGACTCTTCAGTCAATCTCTTTATAACACTCAGTCTGAGCATTCTGTAAAGCTTTTCTGTCTTCTCTAGTCTCTCTATGTCTGTTATTCTGATCTTCTTAACATAGTCTGATCTGTGAGAGAATCTGTTCACTGAGTTCTTAGTTTTCTTGATATATTCTATCTTGAACCAGAACTCACTCAGTCTCTGAGTTCAGTGAATTTATCAATATGAGAGTTTCTTAATTGAAGTAAACTGTTATAAGCTGTTATGATCAGTTCTAACAGTAATCACTGTTATGAGATTCTTAAAGTAGTGATACTAGTGACAGAAGAATTTCACTATTATGAGAAGCTTCTGATCATGAATGTCATAGTTAATCTCTGCAGATTACATCTTTTATAAGAAAAAGATCACTGAAACTCAGTTCTCATTTGACTGTAGTTGTAAGACTATTTCTGAAATTATAAAGAAGAAGATATCTGTCTTTAATCTGATTAAGAGTAAGAAATTAAAGTGAAATAGTATCACTGTATCTGTGAATATCTGTTTTAATCTTACAAAGATCTTACAAGCTTTTAAAATAAGAAAGTTCTTACAGTTCTCTCTTCTTAATAATCTTTTCATTCTCTATTCACAGAATGACTTCTTCTTATTTTCATTCTTCAGTATATCTGTAAGAATCAAGAAGATTCTTGTAAACACAAAGATAAATTATCTATAGAAATTCACAAAGCTCAGAAAGATCTGAATCTCATGAATACTAGTTAACTCTGATCATGATAAAATAGTCTTAATCTGTGAAGATTTCATCTGAATACTATCTGCAGTGATTACATATTCTAGAAAATTAATTCAGCAGACACTGAAGATGCACTTTATAAGCTTAATATATAGTTCTGTCTTATCTAAGACCTTTAACACACTTTGCACATGCTCAGTGTGTTCTTTCTTCTTTATAAAGTACATCATCACATCATTCAGATATATTATTATAAAGATATTAAGATATATATGAAGTATTTTATTAATAAAAGACTGAAATGCTGCAGAAGTATTAGTCAGATCAAAAGACATCACTAGATATTCAAATAATCTCAGTGCAGTTCTAAAGACAGTCTTTCATTCATTCTCAGACTGTATTCACAGTCATATATATATATTAATTATATTCAGTTGTATGAATATGACAGCTTCTGTGAGACAGTTGATTACATTCTTAATCAGAGACAGAGAATAGCAGCTCTTTATTATCTTGAAGTTCAGATCATAATAATCTACATATAATCTGAGATCTTCATTCTTCTTCTTTATAAATATCACAGAGACTTCTGCAGAGACCTGTGAAGATTAGATAAAGTTATTCTTCAGATTCTTCTTTATATAGATCTGCAAGATCTCTGTCTCATAATGAAAGAGCTTATAGATTAATTCTCAGAAGAGTTTCTATTCTTCTATCAAATCTATTATCAGATTCTTCTCATAGTGAGAGAGAAGCTCAGCTGCCTTTACTGAGCTGAATATCTCTATGAGATCTCAGTATTTCTCTAATATCTAAAGCTTAGTTTTCATAATCATGAGATTCTCAGATACTTATAAAATCATTATATAGATGAGCTTGTCTTCTCTAATTAACTCTGCAGTATTAACTGATTCTATCTCTGTAAGTAAGTCTATTAATACTGATCAGAAGTATAAACCTGACTCACAGATAGCTATGTGTAAATTATGTCTTTGAAATCATGCAAGTCTTAAGTATATGTCATCTGTGATGTTTATAATAATCACAGTTTTCACAAATCTTCTTCAGATTTCAGAGAGATCTTATAATTCAAAGATAACTCTTATAAGTCTCTCAGTTCTCAGATCTGAGTTCTCACATCCTGTTTATTATAAGAGTAGATTCTTAGTTTTCATCTTTCAGCTTATTTACTCTGTGAGCTTTAGAGATATCACAGTGATCTGAGATTCTGAGTTTATTAATACTTCTCATACTTATAAAGCAGCAGTACTGCAGTGCAGTCTCTCTTCATAAGCAAGTATTTTCATTGAGAGAGTAACAGATTCAGGTATCAGTTTCAAGACTCTTAAGAAGGCTGTTACTAACTCTGTTTATAACTTCTTAAATTTCTATTTTAATTTGTCTGAACAGTTTGTGCAGAGATGTTCTGATTTAGAATAGATAAAGTAGAGTTTCTTTTTCTTAATCTCTCTATTATACACTCTGTTTATAAGAGCTTGTGAAGCTCTTTCTCTCTACTTAGTAGTCAGATATAAATCTCTCTATATCTTATTATCTTTTTCTGATAAATCTGTTCTCTGTTATTCTGACTCTTACAGAGCTGATCAGTGATTCACTCTTCACAGATCTGTGATTCTTACAGTGATCTGTAAGTAGTGAATGAGAGTCATCAGCTTCTTCAGAGTCAAGAACTTAGAGTCTTACTTAATAAGCTTATTCTACATATCTTTATTCAGTCTCTCTATAAATATCATTATTCAGGTCTTATTTCAGAGTCCTGTTTTCACAGATCTCAATTCATATCATAATTTTATAAAGTGCTGTGAGTAGTCTTTATCAGATTTCTCACCTCTTTTTCTAATATTAATGATTATAGCTCAGATGTTCTCTGTTCAGTTTATAAAGTCTCTTAACTTATTCTTTAGATAGGTCTTAAGAACAGATCAGTGAAATCTCTTATAATTATTCTCTAGATAATTCAGTCAGTTCTTGACTTCAGTGTAATAGAGATCTGTTATTATATAGATAACAGCTTCTTCATCTTTTATATCACACAGCTGAGCTTATGAGTCAATTTCAAATACAAACTTATAAAAGCTTTTATAGATTGTGATTTGATAAGTGATCTTAAGTGATTATAGCTTAAGAAAGTTTCTTTTCAGTTCACAGATATCTCTGAAGATTATGTCTAGAGACTCAGTTTAAGAGTGTTTGTAAGTAGTAAGTATTTCTTATAGAAAAATAGCTTAATTCTGCAGAAGATGCTCAAGAATGTTCTTTACTAAGATTAATTCATTCATGAGTTCAGAGAGTTTCTCTGTCACAGATGCAGAGAATAATGTTCTGTAAGTAATTAATAAGTTCTCTGAGACTTCTTTTATAAGAGTTATTCATGATTTGAGTGACTACTTCTGAATGCCTGCAGTAGAGTTTACAGGGATTGAAGTATATAAGTTTCTAGTTCTTTCAGTCATAACAGGCAGTTGCTGACTGACTGAGCTTGAAATGTAAGAATAAGTGCTCACAGGTGATTATTCAGATGTTTACAGCTTGACATGATATGTACTGTTAACTACTAGAAGTATTCACAGTAGAAAGATAAAATATAGAGATTAAATGTGTAATAGTATTCAAGCTGAGTTATGAATAGTATTTGCAAACTCCAGTCTATATAGTTGTGTGTAGTCAAGGCCCGCTAGCCCTATTAATTACATGAGAGATAGGAATAGAGGTAAAGAATTCACAAGAAGCGGGATTTCTTACACACAGAGTAAGACTATAATAGCTGATTAATAGATCTAAAAGTATCTAATGAAACTGAGATCAGCAACTGAAAGCTTGATGTGTACATTATCAAGTGAGTGATGACAGTGACTAACTAATATCTCTGAAAATTAGTGACTGGTCTGAGAGAACAGATGCAGTGATCAGTTAATTATAGAGAGTTAAATATAATTAGCTTAAGATGTATTCTGCGAGTGACTAGCGCCTGTAGCTGGCAGAAACAAAAGAAGAGTATATATTATTCAAGATTTGAAACAAAACCCAAGTAGAAATCTTATTTAATTAAATCTTAAAAGAAAATATTCTCATCTATAATATAGCTGAAACTAGAATATGACTATTTTAAATCTTATATATAAAGATTTAATGATAGATTTGATTTAATAGAATACTTATTCTGCAATATAAATCAGAATTCTAAGTATATTATAATACACTATATATTATATAATAGTCTCAGAGTCAGATTAAAAGAGAAGTATAATTTAAATTAATTAAATATAAGATTCTTATTCTCAACTGAAATAGAAATTAAATACTTAATAAACTTTCTATCAGAAACTCAAGCAGCTATAAGAAAATAGCTAAATTCAGAAATATCTGAATATAAAGAGAAGAAAATTAATCAGATATAGTCTATTAAAATAGCTATATACTATCTTTTAATAATTTATTTTATTACAGTCTCTCTTTACTTTATTTTTTTCTTTCAATTCTTTTTTATCTATCTATTTAATATATCTATCTTTAAGACTATGTTCTCTTTTCTTTTGTCATGATATTATCAAATGATTTTAAAGTATCAGAAGATGTTAAAATACTGTAATTTATAAACAGTTTTTATATTCTGAGCTGAAATTTTCTGATTTTATATATCTGAAATTAGTGAATGTATAATAGTTAACTTTACAGATATAGAAAAAACTCTGAGAACTAAAAGTTCTCTGGTAGATGTTATAGTCTCTGACTGCATACATTTATAATTGAAGAATAATAATAATAATAATAATCTATCTACCAGAGCATACCTAGGTAATATAGTGGTGGGTCACGGGATCTAGTGGGATCGCTAACCGCAACGGCCGTAGCGGCCAACAGCTAACCACTTCTTCAGGGTGGGTGTTGATTTTAATTTTATCGGGGCAAAAGCGCTCAGTCACTACCAGCGCACTGCTGGTAGAAGGGCCGATCAAGCCGAGACCCCCAACAGATAAACACACCTGAAGCCACTCATAGCTTGGACAAAAAAAATATATCAGCTGGTTCGCTCCATCCCCCTGTATAAAAGACATGCTGCTCCTTCGAGACAATGGCATCTCCCCAATCCTTCAGGGGCTCACAGTCGATGACTGTCGACGGCTCCTTCATTCCCTATGGAACGCACTCGCGGTTTATTCCAGGGAAAATTCAAACCCAGCGCCAACTAAATTACTGCATCAGCCCATTCGTGAAACGATAGTTACAAGCCTACACCACACGACACTCTTTATGCCTGCGTCAGACACCAGAACTACAACTGGTATCAAAATTGTCACCCTCCCTGGAGGTGGCGGCACCGCAAAGGGGGCAATCAATATTTTCTCCCCAGAGGGCGAACTACAGGGCCTACTCAATGCACAGCAGATTACCGCCTTCCGGACAGCGTTGGCGTCTATGATCGCCCTCTTGCACCACAGACTCCCGGAACAAGCGAATATTGTAGTTTTCGGTGCTGGTAAGCAGGCCGAGTGGCATATCCGATTGTCACTACTATTAGTAGCAGCAAAGATCACGACCGTTACTATTGTGAACCGGCGCGTGGAGACTTTGGTGAAGTTTGACACAACACTCCTAGCAGAGCTCCGAAGTCAGTTTCCTCAGATTACATTTAGCTCCATTTCCAACGAGGAACCGGATTTCGACCCCAAATTACGGAATATCCTTGAAGCAGCCGATGCTATCTTTTGCTGCACTCCGTCTTCTCAGCCGCTATTCCCCGATTCATATCTACATCATGGTGACCAAAGTGAGCGTAAGACCCGATTTATTTCCCTGGTTGGATCATACAAGCCACACATGGAGGAGATCGACTCTGCAACGCTGTTATCGGGGAGCAATATCCTGGTGGACTCGAAAGAGGCATGCCTGGAAGAGGCTGGGGAGTTGATCAAGGCGAATGTACAGAAGGACGAGCTGGTGGAGGTGGGCGAATTGCCATTCCCATTCGAAGGAGCCGAGGGGAGAGAGGCGCCGCTTTTGGAGGGAAACACGATATTTAAGTGTGTTGGGATGGGGATTATGGACATTGCTATCGGCAGGGAATTGCTGAACGTCGCGAGAGGGAAAGGAATTGGCATTCAGATTGAGTCGTTTTAAACAAGCTCGATGTATGTGTATGTATGCGTGTATGTATGTATGTATGTATATATTTTATTTTATTACATTCTTGCCCACCCCCCGCCCCATCCCCCTCCCTAGCACCTAGCACCTAGCACCTAGCAGTCACTGTCCCCAGCACCCGCTGAGCTGACCACGCTGTTCATCCCATAATAATTCATTCTCGGATTCTCCCAACCCGAGCCGATGTTGCAGTCTGGTTTCACCCAAAAAAGCTCTCTCGGCCGGGCGATTGATGCCAAGCCCCCGCGTGCGGAGAAGTTGCCACGGAATTCCCATTAAACGTTAGCTACCTAATTAGTTAACTAACCTAGTTGACGGGAGTCCCGTGACTTGCGATGTGGACGCCGGCCAACGCGGCGGATGCAGGAGGTTTTTTGGCCATTCCAGCAAGTAAGCAAGCAAGCGGAAGGCCAGCGAGGGTTCAGTTGGTTATCGGTGTCTTGTCCTCTGTTGTTGTTTGTTGTTCGGCCTGGTGCGTTTGCTGCTTGAATAACCCTCGCCTTTGCCATCTCCCACAACAGTCTCCATCGTTTAGCGTTCCGTGTGAGTGAGTGAGTGAGTGAGTGAGTGTCGGCTATCCAACCGGCCATGTCCACCGCTCCGGCTCGCGTCCACAAGCGGGCTTATCAGGTAAGACCCTCCGAAACCGGATTGCATATATGGCTATCATTTTTGCTCTCTTATTATTCCTTTACCCTCACTACACTTCGGCTGTTTTGGATTCGGTAGACTCATTCATTATAGGCTTGTATTCCCTGTCGCGAACGTAGAGTTCGCTGCGACCTGGGATCCGTTGACTCTCCTCACGATGGTCCTTGTGGAAGATGTCGGCGAGAACGTAAATTTTGCCATTTCTCCGCTACAAGGGGGAAAAAGAAGGCGGGGACTGCAGCGGGAACCTCTCGACAGACTACTCAACAGCCAGAAGAGGGATATCTGCCTCAGTCCGACAGACCTAGTGCATTTGGAAGTCCCGTTACTAGCCCCCATGGCAACAACCTTAATGAGTTTAATTCAGCTGCCCACTCACTTGCAACACGGATTGGGATTGGTAATGGTAGCCAAATCAAAATCCCTCAGGATATCCTAATGCGGATGACCTCCAGTGACTATGGACCGCAAGCTAGCTCGTCAGGCGGCGAGAAAACAGTGGCAGCCCTCCTTCGTGACGCTGCCTACACTTCCCACGATGCCCTAAAGCTTCTCTGGGAAGCAGGGAGGCATAGCGAACGAGACCGGGGAAATCCTCCTGGCACTACAGCATCTGCCGGGCCTTCCACAGCCACCAGCGGTCCCATAAGGCCGTCGGTAGCATCGTCAAGTAAGCACGGCTCCGTGACCGATGATTCTCGCCAGCCCTGGTCAAACTTGCGTTTTGTTCGAACGGGCCTTTTTACTGCAGAAGAAGCCATAGAACTTGTTAATTATTTCCATGCCTACCTCGCGCCGTTTACGCCTATTTCTTCCTCCTCTTTCCAGGACCCATCAACGCATCCAACTTTGCTGGAAGAAGAACCCATCCTTGCCGTCACAATCTTGACGCTTGCCTCACGGTATATGAAATTCTCAGGTGCCGGATCAATTTCTAGGTCTTATATGGTCCATGAACGCCTGTGGCAACATCTACAAGGAATGATTTCTCGCATGATCTTCGGGCAGGAACAGTTCGCTGGGGCCACGCATGATAACGGTTCCTCAACTGATTGTTCCGGCCAGGCTGCTGAATCCGCTCTTGCTGGGTCGAACTTTGGAAGTCTTCGCACACTGGGAACGTGCGAGGCTTTGCTTCTTCTTTCTGAGTGGCATCCCCGCTCCCTTAATGTCCCAGCAGGCGATGACGGAGATAGCATAATAGTCAAAGATGATGTCCGACGGCCTCGGGCTAGTACCGCGGGGATTGGTGGCCGCATTCGGATTGATTGGCTAGAGCCTGTTTGGAGATCGGATCGTATGTGCTGGTCCATGCTGGGGAATGCGCTGGCTCTTGCGGTTGAGCTTGGTATCTTTGACGAATATGACAACACAACCATAGGAGCTCGAGAGTCTCGCCGAGACATATGGAATGATCCGTCCTCGAGCCAACGGGCGTATCGCGTACAGCATTTACTTTGGGTATATCTCACCCAGACATCAGGAAGGCTAGGTAAGAAAGCCATATATCGCCCGAACCATTGAAAGTGGACAGACTGCTCACTAACGTAGGGTGGAAAAATCTGACGTCCGTTTCCGTGACTCACCATGAGGCTGGTCTGAAGCACGGAGATACAATTCGATGTTGGATAGGTGTTGCGTCTCTCATGAAACGAGGGAACGAACTGCTGTTTACATCTCGAGATCGGACAAAGGAGATGGTTCGAAGCGGCGAATATCTTGCAATTCTTCGTGTTCTTAATCCCTTGCTTAGAGAGTGGCAGGTGGAATTTGATCGAGCAAAACGTAAGTTGCTTCGCCGTAGTTGTACCACTTTCTACGTGCAGATTACGATCTAACGTTGCCTATACACAGTATCAAAGCCAATGAGGGCTATACTTTCAATAGAGTATGGCTATGTTCGAGTGTCTATTAATAGTGTAGCTCTTCAGGCTGTTATTGAACACCGTGGCCGAGGTACCAATGATGGTACGGATATGCGAGTTTCATCGGTGCTGAATACCTTCGAAGGAAATAAGGAATACTTTATGGAAGTAGTTTTCGCTGCTAGGGCAATTTTGCAGACCGTCGTGGAGGATCTCGTACCTAACAATCGCCTACGACATGTCCCCATACGAACTTATTCAAGGATTCTGGCGGGAGCTATGTTCTGCCTGAAGGTATGTGTTTCGTTCACTGTGACGTGGATTTTCCGCCCTTTTTGTTTTAAAAAATCCTAATGTCTAGTGCTTTAGGCATTTGCCCTTGGGGTCAAGGATGAAGAGACTATAGTCTCACTGGAGTTAGTTGAGCGCACTGCAGAGGCGCTTTGTACATGCGTAGTGGACGACGTCCACTTGAGCAACCGATTCGGTGAACTTCTCACCGCATTAGCATCTAGCCTTCGGAGTCGCGTAATGGGAACATTAGGAAATGAGCATCCTCAGAGCGGGAATATGACAGCCGGCAATACGCCGTCACAACGTAATCAATTTGAAGATAGAGCAACATCCGACATTCCCATAACCGCTAATAATCACGCTTACGACCCTCCTGTCGACTCAGCAAACACGGAGCCCTTGATGTCGCCAAAACAAGATTACAGTTCGCGCGGCTCGTCAAATGTCTCTGTGGCAACTAGCGAACCGAGCGGCTATTTGCCTATGCATCCTCCAACTGGAACTCTCGATCAAATTTCTTTCCAACACGATCCTCTGATGAGTTTTGCTGGCCTAGGACCTAATCAGCTTGGGTGGTCAGGTGGACAGGATTTTTTTGACATGCTGGGTCCTTTATTGGATGTCCAGTATGAACAATATCGCTAAAAACGAAGGGTGTTGACTTCAGTTATATCCCCAGAGCTGGGCAAGATGCCATGAGTCCTTCGAACACCAACCGCTTTGAGACCGGGCAAACTGGCATGTGATTTGAATAACAAGGTTATACGCTACTATCGCTGTTCGTTATACCGCATATTCCTTCACCAAAGCCAATCTGTGTATTATTAACAGCACGACGTAGGAAGGCGACCAGTTATTTGATGAACCAAAGCATGGTCCCTGTGTTTAAGAACGCGAAACGAGGTTACCGCCAAACTCCAATTTTAGAAACGGACTGACGCATTGGCAGAGCGGATACAAAAGGCCCTATACTTTTACCGACCCAGATGTAGTCATGTCATCCGCTTATGTGTACGCCCTTTGCGCCTTTCTGCCGAAAAAGCCCTTGGGCACCGGCCTGATAGTTTTATCTCCGGTGTTGAATCGAATACTTACCGAAGGACGCACCACACACCCATTCGTGTTCTGGGCCTAGTTCTGAAACATCATGCTCACTAATTGCTTGATAATAGGGCTTCTCCCAGCCGACGATTTATGATACATATTATCACTCAATTAGATACCTAGCAGATTAAATTTCACTTTTTTTTTGTTTCGTTACTTCCGCTAAATAAATATCTCTACGTTAGTACGCTTTCTTGCCCTACAGTCAATAAAATATGAGCCTTTTGCGACGTCGCTGCCATGTTCCCCAGGACTCCTTCATCCAAACTCAAGGCCGCTCATCGATACGACGCCAACAATCCCGTCTTGCAGACCATTCACATTCACGAACCCGCCTAGGCTCACGGATTAGGTACTCGTACTAGTTTTCCCACCATTAACCGTTTGTGTGGGACGCGATTCTATTTTTTGCATTTTCAACATTCTAACAAATATGATATAGATTGCATGGTGATAGATGCAAATTAATTAACTAGTCAATTTAAACATAGTTCTTGATGTTTGATGAAGAGATTGTTTCAAGGTTTCGTGGTGGAATAACTCAATCAAACTAACTTGAAAATCCCAGAACTCTCTGCAATTCCAGAAAATCTGTATAACTTTATTAGACTGACTGACCCCTACACTCAACGCCCGCCATTTCGCCATCACTATGATGAAATATTTTCAACAATATCTCAACAATGCAATTAGGTTTTAAGATGATATATTATAGGATGAAAATATATATAGAAAATTATGATGGAGGGGTTATTAGAGTAGTTGGTTGTTATTATGAGAAGCTAGCTGCTATGTGGCCTTTTATAGAGAGCTTGCGATCGCTGATCATGTGGATCGGCGGCCGCAGCGAGCGTGGGCGTTATCTCAGCATGCTCAGCCTCTCTTCTCGATATTTTCGGATTAGCGCGACCAACTAAACTCCTTTAGACTTCTGTCAAGTCCTGCTAACTTCTGGACCAATAAGAGACTTCACACGTGCTCACAACCTAATATCTTGTAGAGAGTCTGAGAAGAAACAGTTCCATCATGTGTGAAAAATCAACTTCACTCATACAAAATATT